AGAAAATCAAGAAAAAGAGCCAAAAAGATAGTGAATTCCAAAAGACCGAAGGAAAACAAAGTTCATTTTAATCCTTTCGTACAAATAAATTATCCTCAGTTCTTTATGCTAGCAAAACTAACTGGATCAGGATTAGAACAAATTCAGTAAGAAACTATCCGAGAGCCCAGAAGAATCATAGCAGAGAAGAAAAGACCGCAAATGGCGGAAAGTGGATACAGGGAGAGGAACAAGAGACCTTTGACGGGGAGGAACATGACTTTACACAGCTTAGGACTTGATTCTTATTATCTCTTGAGTTTTCGAGCACCCACGAAGTCCCTGTGGGTATAGACGATCAGGTGCCATTGTAAAGAACCATATTTTCATGTAGGTTCTCTACATTTTGGTACTTCTTCTCATACACAGGGTTTGTCCCACCATATCAACAATATGATAATTAAAATATTTTTTTTAAAAAAAGATAGGACATATACATTCTCACTAGCATTGTCTTTGCTATCAAAATTAGAATCTCATTAACTCTCCTGGAGTTTACAATTCACAGGTTACAATTTCATAGTTAGCCAGGGTTGCCACAATATTGAGCATGATATCTAAAGCCATTAATCCTTTTTAGAAAAGTTTTACTGGCAGCTGAGAAGGAAAAGAAATGCAAAAAGAAAAAAAGACTCTAGCTAATATTCCCAATCTAAGACAAATGGGCACGTGAGCCAAGAGAGCAAAGTGTTGCTTCTCAAATTCATCTTCCTAAAAATTCTGGCATTCCTGAAGCAGATTCAGCAAGATAAATCAACCTCAGTTTCAGCAACTTAAATTAGTTGCCTAACTATTCAGTCTACAATATTTTCAGTGCAAACTCATTGACAAAAACTGCATCCACATCATTCAGTACTACGTTGAACAAGTACTAAGCTCAAGAATCTGCTTACCTAAAAAATTACTAAACTAAAGAATTAAAGTGATTGTATAGATAAGCTGAGTAAATATTTAGCAGTCAGAACAAGGAGCGCTATTGCTAAAGGGGTAATGTCAGCTTGAAACCAGTATCTTATTGACTCAAGACCCGTACACTATGGACAGACCTATTGTAATCATAGGATACCAGCTAAATTTCATCCCTAGTTCTCGGCTCCAAGTATCCAAGTCTGTTCATTATCAAAAGTTGTGTCCCACAACTATAGGCAACCGTGAAATGTGCAAAGAAAGGTTTCTGACTAAAGGGACGTTACCCACATCAAGTGTAACGTAAACTGGAATCAGGAAGGAAGGGAGGCCCTCCACCTAATGGTTAATCAACAAGGGAGCTAAAGCGGCAAACTACTGTTGCCCCTGGGAAAGAAGGTATTAGGGAGTGGAGTAAAAAGAAAATTATCAAATCAAGGGGGGAAAGAGCAAAAGAAATCAGGAACTGTTCCAACCAAATAATATGTAACTTAGACTAACCACGGCAGGATGATACAAACTAAAAGCAACTTACGATATGTCAATCCATTTCTACGAAAGTAGAGAGCCAAATGTGGGATGAATAACAGATAATAAACATCATTTTCCAGTCTCCCTTTTCTTTTTCCAGCAAGACACAAAACTTAACAAAGATACTGCAAAAAATGCAAGCTATTTTCCCTCCTTTAAATATCACCAAGAAATACTAGATCTCATGTTCAATATCCAAGCTATATTCATTTAAGATTATCGTTTTTCCTCTCAGATTAGACAAGATTCTGATGGAATGATATCCAACTGGTATAATAGTCAAAACAACTTCAAATCAGAACACTTTACACATCACAAAACACAAGTGATTAACCAAGATCACAGGTCTTTGATAATCCTTAGCTTAAAATTCAATCAAGTGTCGAAATATCCAGTAGAGCATTGCAATTGCTAGACAATTTTTCAGTGCTATGCAGCTGCTTGCCTAGTACTACTACAACTTTTACATGTAATAACTCTATAACAAGAAGGCCTTCCAATCACGTGAAATGCAAGTACTTTCTCCTCGATTAGTTATGTGTCACCTCGTCTAGCATCAAATACAATTACAAAACAGTTTAATTAAGCTCCACAAATTTCACCTTATGAATTGTCTATTCAAGCTACACTTGTTACTTGGGAGCACCAGTGGAGCTCTTAGAATCATTTTGATGAGCACCACCCACAATTCCATCAGCTTCCAAGAATCTACTTAAATGCTTATCATCCAGATGCTGCTGAAAAAAAATTAATAAAAGCAAAAGTTCAAATAAAAAAAATATACACATAAGAAACAAAGAAACTGAATTGAGCTTAGAATTCAAAGAAAGAGCTTACAGATAAACAATCTCTATATTTCTGCCATTCTAAAACACACTCCTCTTTATCCCACTCACCCTTCAAGAATTTGTCAGAATACCACCTACACAAAAAAAAAAAACCAAGTTTTAGGTGAAATCCTCATACCCACATAATCAAGAATCTAAAGGAACTCTTTTTTACTTTTTTATTTCTTTAGACTCACAATAAAAATTAGGTAAAAGGGGTAAAGATTATATCATAAAAGTCTGAATTTTGACCTGTTGAAACAATTATGGTAAGCCTCTCTGAGTTGAGCACAAGGGGAAGTAGACAAACGAGAAGCATTTTTCTTGTCTTTCAAGATTCCCATGTTTATGGCATAATAATACTACAAATCCATGAATCTGAACTGAAACCAAGCAGTTAAATTAAATGTTGATTCCAGAAATACTTGTAGCAATTTAGCAATTTCTTCCCATTGTCTTTGCTTCAACGACCAAATAAGGGAGGAAGTTTTGGGCCGTCAGGGTAATTGGATTGTATGTGGATCCTTTTAGCTTGGTATGGCCCACGATGAAGCCCAATATTGGTTATAGCTAAACCGTACAATTTTCATGCGGCGTCCAGTTCGGCGCCACCTATTGTACCCACTAAAGAAAAATTAATTGATACCCAATATTTGGGTAACTACAGATACATGCTATTAAGGATATAGACACGGTTAAAGTAGTTAAGTAGTTGTAAGTAGAGGGTATTTATGTAAATAGTGGATTGGTTAGCTTAGGCGGTTAGTACAATATTAAAACAATGTACTGTAGCTTTCTTCTTCAATTTCAATAAAACAGTTCCTCCTTCTTCTTCTCTCAATATCTCTTCTCTTTGCGACTGAGCTTAGCTCAAGCATTTCCATGGTTGGCTTCGACATGATATCAGAGCTAGCGGAGAAGATCTAAACACGCCTCTTCGTCACTCAGTTGCAGAAGCTGAAGCTCAGTTGGAAGATAAACAATATCTCAAAATTCCGATTTTCTCTTCAATTCAGAAATGGGGGGAAATAAGATTGACCACACACATCCTCTGTTCGTGCATCCATCAGACACTCCTAGCTCAGTGCTAATTTCCGTTTAGCTCAAAGGATCCGAGAATAATGGCCTATGGCGGAGATCGATGAAGATTGCACCTCAAGCTAAACGGAAGCTGGGGTTATTTGATGGTAAGCACACTAAGGCCTCGTTTCCTGCAGCATTGTATGAGGATTGGAAAACTTGTAATGCCATAGTCCTTTCATGGATTATGAATACTGTATCGCCGGATCTACTTAATGGAATAGTGTATGCATCAAATGCTCGAGCTGTGTGGGAGAATTTTCGTGAGAGATTTGATAAGGTCAATCGCATGAGGATCTATCAGCTACATAGGGAAATTGCAACAATATCCCAAGGTACCGATTCTGTATCTACATATTTTACAAAGCAAAGGAACTGTGGGGGGGAATTTGATGCAATTTTGCCGCCTCCTAACTCTGTGAAGGACTATGTTGAGCTATTGAGTCAATAGAGGTTGCTTCAGTTTTTGGGAGGTTTAAATGACTCATATAGTCAGGCAAGACGTCAAATTCTTATGAAATCTACTGAACCTAGTCTAAATCAAGCATATGTCATGGTCATCGAGGATGAGACTCAAAAGGGATCATCAGGGCACAACTCTGCAGGTCTCAACTCACTAATGGAGGGTAATGACATTACTGCACTTTGGAGTGCTAAAGGACCTCAGATGCAGAAGCCTAGGAAGAATTTCAATAAAGTGTATGATTTTTGTAAAATGAAAGGACACGGCAAAGAGAATTGCTATCAATTAGTTGGATATCCACCATATTTCAAGGGCAGAAGAAAGTCAGTGGCTAACTCAGCATATTTTGGTAACTCTGCACAACCAGGGAATCATGGACAGCAACAAGGAATGGGAAATAACTCAGGAAATGGTCACACTAGTTATGGAGCTACACGACCCTTAGGTCCAAATATTGATTACATCAATGCAGGTTATACAGGATCACCAGGTGGTTTTGCAGGTACAGGATCACCAGGTGGTTTTGCAGGTACAGGATCACCAGGTGGTTTTGCAGGTGCAGAGAAAGATGCAAGGTTGAGCATGCAAATGCCAATGCCATTCACTCCAGAACAATATGACCAAATTCTGAAGATGTTACAAATGGACAGTACACCTGAATCAACAGCTAATGCAGCAGGTATAACTGGCCCCCCAATACTTACAAATGTAGTTAGTGTAACTCATTCGAATGATAGTAAAGCAAAGGATGATAATTGGATAGTAGATACAGGGGCAACAGACCACATGGTGTCAAATAGTGAAATGATCTCTTAGCCTAAAGAACAGTCTAAAAGTATAGGAGGAAAAGTTCATTGCCAAATGGAGATAGCTTGGCCATTTCTTGTGTAGGAATCTCTAAATTAGATCAAGGGATTATATCAAATCTACTTTGCATACCAGGTTTTAAATACAATTTGTTGTCAGTATCAAAACTGACTAGGGAGCTAAACTGCTGCATGCTATTCTTTCCTGACTTTTGCCTCATGCAGGACCTTCACACGGGAAGGTGAAGGAAACTGGTAGGCTGAAAGGAGATCTATACTATTGCCCTCACAGTGATAGAGATAGGATTCAAGCCTCAGCAGCACTGTGTGTGACCAATGAAGAAGAGCTATGGCACAGAAGACTTGGGCACATTCCACATAAGGTTCTACAGCAAATGCATATAATAAAGTGTAATAGGTTGCATAGACATAATGTCTGTCCTATTTGTACCTTGGCAAAACAGACAAGGTTTCCTTTTCCACCAAGTACTAGTAGAGCTTTAAAATATTTGATTTGATACATGGTGATGTATGGGGTCCCTGTAGAACCCCTACCTATGATGGGAATAGATTTTTTCTCACTTTAGTAGATGACTATAGTAGAATGGTTTGGATATTTCTGCTCAAGCTTAAAAGTGATGTACCTACTGTAATAAAAGACTTCACGACTCTTGTGAAGACTCAGTTTAACCGTGCAATCAAGGTATTCAGGACACACAATGGAGCAGAGTTCTTTAATTCATATTGTGCAGATATGTTTAAGAATGCAGGTGTGGTCCATCAAAGTTCCTGTGTCTACACACCCCAGCAGAATAGAGTGGTAGAAAGGAAACACAGGCAGATTCTTAAGGTTGCAAGAGCAGTCAAGTTTCAGGGAAGCATTCCACTGAAATTCTGGGGTTTTTGTGTGCAGAATGCAGTATATTTGATCAATAGAATTTCATCCACAACACTAGCAGGAAAATCACCTTTTGAAATGTTCTATGTTCGACCACCTAAGCTACAACATCTCAGAGTTCTGGGTAGCATCTGCTATGCTACTGCCACTGATAGAGGTGACAAATTTGGAGCTAGAGCAGATGCAGCAGTGCATATGGGATATTCATCCACTCAAAAGGGTTATAGGCTATATAGTCTCACTAACAAACATTTGTTTTGTAAGCAAGGATATAACTTTCAAGGGATACATTTTTCCTTTCAAAACCACAGCTTCCAAATGCAGGAGGACCACTGCTGAGCAGTTTATTGATACAGATGATGCCTTCATCATTGATCCTACTCCTGAGGTTTCAGAGAGTGCTCTTGATTTAGCAGTAGCACCTCCACCTTCTCCTGAGGCTTCCTCAGCTCCTAGTCCTGCTGCCCTATCTTCTGAAGACCTGACACAACCTCACCTTACATCACCTCATGCAGCAGTAATGCCATATCCAACTATGGCTTCTTTGCATGATTTGCAAGAAGAGGGGCTAAGACAGTCTACTTGGACTTCCAAGACACCTGGATGGCTCAATGATTTTGTTCATGGAATGCCAAAAGCTGGCCCTTCTACTGCCTTGAGTTCCAGTTATCCAATGTTTGCCTACATGTCCTATGCCTCATTATCTTCCCCTTACTTCAAGGCTCTTTGCTCTTTATCTGTTGTTACAGAACCAACTTCCTACGTTGATGCCCTTCGAGATCCCAAGGGGATTGCGGCCATGGATGTAGAGTTACAAGCCCTACAGGACAACCACCTGGGAGTTAGTTCCCTTGCCACCTGACAAGAGAGCTATAGGGTGTAAATGGGTGTTTAAGGTGAAATATAATGCCCAAGGTGAGATGGAAAGGTATAAATATCGCTTAGTGGCCAAAGGTTACACACAACAAGAGGGTCTTGATTATTAAGAGACCTTCTCCCCTGTGGTGAAAATGGTCACAGTGAGTACTGTCTAGTCCTTAGCAGCTATGCATGGATGGAATTTGCATCAAATGGATGTCTTCAATGCTTTTCTTCTAGGTGATTTGCTGGAAGAAGTGTATATGACTCCGCCTCTGGTCTTCTAGGTGTGGGGTAGCCTTCTAGAGTTTGCGGGCTTCAGAAATCCTTGTATGGGCTCAAGCAAGCCTCTAGGCAATGGAACTTGAAGCTCAGTGAGGCCCTTTCTTCCTTAGGTTTTGTGCAGAGCCATCATGATTATTCCCTCTTCAGTAAGAGGTCAAGTTCTGGTTTGGTCATCATCCTGATCTATGTGGATGATCTCTTGATCACTGGCTCATCTCCCCAATTAATTCAGGATGCCAAAGTTGTCCTCCAACATCACTTCAAGATCAAGGACCTGGGGAGATGAGATACTTCCTTGGTCTTGAAGTTGCAAGGAGCAGACATGGCATTTTGGTTTGTCAAAGGAATTTCACACTCCTTGCCACACTTGGACTTGCATGTTCTAAACCAGTCTGTACACCTCTAGACACAAGCCATAAGCTCACCAGTGCAGAGTATGATCAAGCCAATGCACATGGAGCTATAGATACTGATGAGTTACTTAATGATCCAAGTAGCTATTAGAGATTAGTTGGGAAGCTGCTATATCTTACCATGACAAGGCCAGATATTAGCTATGTTGTACAAAATTTAAGCCAGTTCATGCACAAGCCAAAGAAGTCACATTGTGAAGGAGCAATGAGAGTGGTAAGGTACCTAAAGAATGCACCAGGGCTGGGGATCCTGCTATCATCTCAGCCTTCTGACCAGCTCACAGTGTATTGTGATGCAGATTAGGCTACTTGCCCAATTACTAGAAGATCAGTGAGTAGGTTTATGATAAAACTAGGAGACTCTCTTATCTCCTGGAAGTCCAAGAAACACAATACAGTGTCCAGGAGCTCTTTAGAAGCTGAGTATAGAAGCATGGCCAATGCTATAGCAGAAGTAGCCTAGTTAACAGGGTTGTTCAAGGAATTGAATGTTCACTTGAAACTACCAGTAAAGCTATATTGTGATAGTAAAGCAGCTATTCAGATTGCTGAAAATCCCATCTACCATGAAAGAACAAAATATATCGAGATCGAATGCCATTTTGTTCGAGAAAAGATTTAGCAGGGCTTAATACAGACTGCACATGTTTCTACAAACCTGCAGATTGCAGATGTACTGACAAA